GCAGGGAGTCTGCTTCTCCCTCTGACCCTCCCCCCTCTCATGCTCTCTCTATTTCATTCTCTCTCTCAAATAAATAAATAAAATTAAAAAAAATATATATATATATATATGAAAGTCATTGTGGTAGATTAAAGAGCGTCAGTTGGGAATCTGAAAACCTGTTCATAGCGACAAAACATGGACTTCCAGTTCTAAGAGTGCTAGATGTAGCCAAGGCCTTTGGAGCCACACAAGACCTAACTTTTTAAGTGTTGAATTTGCATGTGTGTAAGGCACCTGGCACCAGGCTTGCCATATGTGCTCAGCAATGGCTACCAAGTGTAGTTTTAATGAGCTTTTTAATGTTGAGTTAATCTTTCTAAGTCTGTTTCTTTGTCTATAAAATGAAGTCATTGGAAAGCATTGTTTGAATGGAGGCATGAACAGATATGTTCACAAAAGGGTATGTGAGGCTGAATGACTAGAGGAAGTTTATAACCACTGAATCTGATCATTTATATGGTTATTGAAACTATCAAATATGATACAAATAATTTTACCAGTTTTATAGTACTTCTCTTTATACATATTGCCTCCTTCCATATGCCTTAAACTAAGATGTTCCAGATATTATAGAAATTGTCTGTGCTGCTAATGAATTTGGTAACTATATTCTCTTTTATATATTTTTCCATAATCTTGTCAGAGTATGACTTTATACTTTCCAATTTAAAATATATTCTGATTCTTTTTGCATTCTTATTTCTAAACCAATTTTTAGGAACTAGAATGTAAAGAAAATAAATTAAAGAATTTAGAAGATTCTCTTGAAGACTATAACAGAAAATTTGCAGTAATTCGTCATCAGCAAAGCTTATTATATAAGGAATATCTAAGGTATAAGTGTTAGCAAAACCTTATAATGTAATTGCAGCATATTCTGTTTAATGATGAAAGAAATGTAAGAAAGTACTTAGATATTTTATTTTACCCTTCCCTCATGCCTTTTCCCTTCTATTTTGTGTCTTAGTTTCCTTATCTATAAATTTCTGAGATAGTAATGCCTTTTGCATAGGGTTGTTACAAAATCTAATTGAATTGTTACATGAAAATGCTCAGATATGAACATTTTGCAAATGTCCTGGCACGTGAACATTTTGTAAATGTCAGCTGTTAGCATCATTCTTCATCATCCTTGTCATCATTATTGATATATTTTCATTGGTAACTAATGTTTCTCCTTATCTCTGCTATTTCATTTGTATCAACCAAATAATTTTCTTTTTTTTTTTTTTTTTTCCAAATAATTTTTTTTTTTTTTTTTTTTTTCCAAATAATTTTCTTAGAAGTCATTAGAATACCAGATCAAAGGTGATTTAAACATGAAGGGTAATTATTATGTGATCTAACAAGAAACCCAAAGGTAATTATAGGGTAGGCTGTGTTTAAGTGTTGTCATTATCTCCTTCTGTGGTTTATAAAATAGATGCAGGAGTTCAAGAGAGAGGGAACCATGCCCATTGTAGAAGAGGCATTTTTTTTTCCCCCACACAACTTTTTATTTTTAGATTAAAAAAAATTTTCCAGAACCTTCTAGCAGAGCAGACTTTGACTCAGATCACATTAGCCAGAATTGGGCTAATGAGTTGTCCAAGTCATATGTTCAAGTCTCAGCCATTCAGTGGTTAACTGTTAACTGTTTATGCCAGCCAGATTGCAGGTGACTGTAGAATGTCTCTCGGGTAAGCAACAGTGTCTTACACACCTTCTTTTAAGTCAAATGATTTCTACTGTTGTTTGTATTCTAAGTATTTTGCAACTGGTTAACCCTCAAGTTTTAAGAGTAGGGTCAAAATATTGAGAACTAATTTCCAGAATTAGTTTGGAGTGTTGATTATTTTCCTATTTGTTTTCTATTAATAAAATGTTGTAAGATTCAGCTTCAGTTGTTTTATTATAACAGTTGTAGAGTTGTGTCTCATGAAATAATGAAAGTAATTTGATAAAATAATTTCTTTACATTGCATTTATTTAATAAAAATAGAACTTCCAGGCTAAATCTTTGTCGAATGGAATTTTGAGATATTCTGTTATCGGATACCAGTAGCTGTGATGCCTCTTGTTTTCCTGTAGTTAAATATTTTATTAGGTTTATTATATTGTCATTTTTATTTTTTTTTTAAGTGAAAAGGAGACCTGGAAAATAGAATCTGAAACAGTGAAAGAGGAAAAGAAAAAACTAGAGGATCAAATCCAACAAAACGCTATAAAAGTAAAAGAATATAATGTAAGTAAAACTCTTTTAAAATCAGTGTACAATATCATACAAACTAAGCCACATTCAACAAGTAATATAAATGTGTCTTTGTGCAGAATTTGCTCAGTGCTCTTCAGATGGATTCGGATGAAATGAAAAAAACACTTTCAGAAAATAGTAGAAAAATCACAGTCTTGCAAGTGAATGAAAAATCACTCATAAGACAGTATACCACTTTAGTAGAAATGGAGCGACAGCTTAGGAAAGAAAATGGGAAACAAAAGAATGACTTGATAGCAATGGAAGCTGAAGTTGGTGAAAAAATTGGACGTTTGCAACGATTTAAGGTACATCTGGTTTTTTTTTTGACTCTATAAAAACTTTCAAGTATGAGGAAGAGAAGATAGTATAATGAACAACCATCACCTGGATTAATAGTTAACATTTATTAACATTCTGTATTATTGCTTCATCTGTTCCTTGTAGGAATAAATTGCAGACATTTTTCCCTGAATATTTTAGTTTGCATCTCTAAAAAACAAAGCCTTTTTTTGTTTACATAACACAATAACTTTATCACATCTAACAAAATGGACAATAATTGCCTTAATTATCTAATGTCCAGGCCATATTCATATTTCCTCAGTTGTTCCAGGATCCAGTCAAGAATCCTGAATTGTATTTGGGTGTTATGTGTCATTAAGTCTTTAATATTCATAGAATCTCCTGTTTTGTTTTTTTTTTCCCTGCTGTGAAAAATGTTGAAGATTTACCTGATTATTTTCTGCGTAATTTTGCTTATTCCTCTATTCATTGTATTTACTAAAAGCTTTGAAGCCTTGGATATGTCAGGTTAAACATTTTTGATTAGAATACTCCATCCATAATCCATTGGACTTTATAAGTTCTACTTTATGTTGCATCACTTCAAGAGATGGAATGTTTGGTAGTCCCATGTTTCGTGCGTGATTATTGTCTTAGGCAAACAGCAATGTATCTCTACTAGTAAGTGATTTAACTGGTGATATTTTGGTACCATGCAAATAACCAGTTCTTTGCCAGTTCTCCTGATGGCATTAGTAGCCACTAATGATTGTTGTTATCTGATGCAGTTATTTCATTAGGAGTTGCAAAAATTATTTTCTAGTTATATTATGTTTTCTACATGTATTAGCCAATAGTCCTTTGTAAAATAAAGAGCTTTTCCTCATTAGCCCAGCCTATTTGGTTATCTTGAAGTATAGTTCCTACTAGAAAGACAAGATGAAAGCTTCATTCTTTCTTTTTAATGACTAGTCCTCAGAAATCAGAGTTGGTATACTCTGCTTCTACCTGTTTGCCCGACCTCCCCAGCTTTCTCTTCTTTCAGTATCATTACAGACTCACACACTTAGTCGTTGTTTGTTAGTCTTAATTTTGGCCAGTGGGAGCCCTTTAAAGCCGGCTCTTGATTCCTTTTGACAATAATCCAATAGTCTTTGAACCAAGCTTCAAATGTTGGTTTGTTTTCTGGCACAACAAGATGTTCAAGATTTACCTTATATACTTTTATCCAGGTTTGGAATATACCATTACTCTAAAGAACCCTGGTTCTTTTTAGTGGGAAAGGCATTTAGATACCAAAAACTGGTCACTAGATGTTACTGTTCTTGAAGTTTCATTGCTACTGGTCCCCTTCAGTGGACAAATTAGGAAAATACGTGTGTATTAAAACCATGAGTTAATATTGTTATCTCCAGTTCAGATTTAATATAATGGGGTTAGGAAATGGTATGGAGTTGTTACTGGCCTTTGATTTTGTACTTGTATTTCCTTTTTCTTACATGGAAATCTGTTATTAACGTTAAAATAATCGCTCTATCCTATAATATTCACACATTAATTTGAAGATAATCTTGCATTGGTATTAACAACAGCAGCAATGCTACCAGATTTAGTTTAAAATTTCTTTATAGTTCTTATTTTCTTTAGAATATCGTTCAACAGGATGTATAGTCAAGGTAATATATTTCTACAGTAACTTGAAATAATTTTCTTTGTGTGTTTATGCTATAAATTTGATATATAGTTAGGCTCATTTGTTTTGCATTTGTCTTCAAACTCAGAGGTTACTTTTCTTTTTTTAAATTGATTTGAATATATAAAACATTTGCATGTTTCAAACATACAGTCAGAGAAATCTTACTTCTTTCCCTATACTTTGACTCCATTCTGCCCTACCTGCTATAGGTAACTGATTATCCTTTTAATGATTCTTTTTGAAGATATTAACAGACACAGGACGTTGCATGCTGTTTGTACTTTTACACCTTGCCTTACATCTTGTTTTATATAGCTTTTCTAAGCATGTACATGTTCAGTTTACATGTCCAAATTTACATAGAATCATATAAACACAAAAGAATTCAAAGTAGAATTAAAATGAAGTTGAGTTCCTTACTATTTGCTTTTAATAATAGGTGAAATTGTCATGCTAACAAACTTACTTTCAATGTGATCTTAAAGCTAAACGCTGATGGAAAAAGGAACTTGTTAAATAATGAAAGCTATTTTTCTTTGGACACGTAATAAGGAAATTTTGAGTCTTAAGAAATGTTCTTGTTTTTAAAAAAATTTTATGTTTTTCTTGGAGTTTTGCACATATAGCTAGTGTGTGAGATCGAAGGGAAAACAGAACTAGAATGCTCTTCTCCTCAACCTGATTGTTCAACCTGTATTTGGGGGCTGGTGCGTGACAGTTGGGAAGCCAAAAATTGAGTATTTTTAGGGGACTGGAAATAGGAAACTCCTCCCCATCCAAAGAAAGTGTGAAACCAAATTCCAAGGGTAGGGTAGAATAATGTATACTTACTTGGATGGAAAAGAGAAGCTGTCAAAATGAGATGTGAACCACTATTACAAATATTTTTCCCTCATTACTGTACTTAAGAAGAAATTTTAACCGTAAATTCTTTATCTTCCTCACTTTATAAATTTGGTTATTCGTTGCACTACTTCTTCAACGTACCTAGAGAGAAAAAGATGTTCAGATATTTCTTCTTAGTGTTAATACAGTGTCTTTGAGCAGTGACTTTTTATAGTTGTATGGCTGATGAGTAGAACATGAAACAAGTAACTTTAAGTCTTTCATATTATTTGAGATAGCTATGATTGAGAGAAATTTTTTTCTCATCAAGGATTGTTTCCTTCATGTGAACCAAAGGTTTTCTCTTCTTACAAAGCTACTCTGTGTAACTGTAATAAGCAGAAATAGCTAAATCGTAATGTGGTGATGCTAATTTTGCCATTCAGCTAACTAAAGGCAAATTTTTTTTAATTTTATGAAATTTAGAAAAGCCATCCAGAGATACATTCTGAGTGATACATTTTCTTGCTGCTGTGTATTGTGCTTTTCTGAAATTAATTGAATTTCATTTTACTGTGACAGTCATGAAAGGATTCCCTTCATTTTTATTTTTATTATTTAAAATTTCTAAATATTTCTTATATGAAAGAAATAATTATTGTAATATTTTTTAATACATGAGAAATCTTTTTTTTTAAAAAAAATGATTCTAAAATAGGGGCGCCTGGGTAGCTGAGTCATTAAGTGTCTGCCTTTGGCTCAGGTCATGGTCCCGGGGTCCTGGGATCGAGCCCCGCATTGGGCTCCCTGCTTGGTGGGAAGCCTGCTTCTCCCTCTCCCACTCCCCCTGCTGTGTTCCTTCTCTTGCTGTCTCTCTGTCAAATAAATAAATAAATCTTTAAAAAAAAATGATTCTAAAATTTGTTTTGCTTTTAGCTGTATTATATTATGCTTCACCAGAAAAAAATACACCAACTTAACTCAGTGTATCCTTGTTTACATAGGAAATGGCCACTTTCAAGATTGCAGCTCTCCAAAAAGTTATAGATAATAGTGTTTCTTTGTCTGAACTAGAATTGGCCAATAAACAATACAATGAGTTGACTGCAAAGTACAGGGACATCTTGCAAAAAGATAATATGCTGGTTCAAAGAACAAATAAGTTGGAACACTTAGAGGTAAGTTTATGTGGTCCCTGAACCTTGTAATGTTAGCTGTTTTTCTTGGGTGATACCGGTAGGTGCAGAATGATTTCCAGATGACTTCATCCTGTCATCCTCCCTTAGTCCACTTGCATAATTTTATTGAATCAAGCCTCTTTTCCCCAGGCACTTAAAAAAGAAAAAGGGGCATGAACCAGATAGGGAATGTAACCAAGAGAGGAAGCATCATTAAGTACCCATCCCTTTCTCTTCCCCCTGAACCCAGGGCAAATATTTTTCTTATAGTCCTTGGCTTATTATGTTCCTTGGGATGATATATCCAAGAATGGCTCTTCCTGGACCGTGAATGAACTCTGGAAATTCCCATCCTTTCTTATTGTACAGATAAGAAAAAGTAAGATAAAGTGTCATAAGTTGCATTCAAAAAATATGTGAATATGGCCCAGAACCCTCTGTAGTTCTCTTTTAGCCACTTGACTTCCATATCTTTAACAGTAGGCAAAACCAGCTCCTGTTTTGTTCATCTTCCCCTTCAGAAATAAAGGCTTACGTCTTTTGACTTGTTCTCTTTTGTGATCCTCTCCTAGGACAGGAATGAGGTCTAATTTTGAGGCTTCATTGGTTGTACTTGTGTAGAGGGACACAATCAATAGTACACCCAAATGTCATTTTAAATAGCTTTGAATGACTCCTACAAAACTATCTGAGTTATTTATTAATACTAACTATAAGTAATCATGATCAGTTTCCTTTTTACTGTTTTTGCTAAAGAGAGATGATTATGTTAATTTTTATAGAAAATTTTGAATATTTAGATGTGGTAATAATTTATTTTACTTCTTCCCCATCTTTCATGCTCTGTGCCCTCTTCCTCTGAAGCATTTGAAAATCCTATGTAAGAAATGTGTTATGTAGATAACATAGCAATAAGTAATTTTTAACTTATTTATCTACTTTTCCAAAGAATATTTTTCATCTTTCCTTAAAATTTAAAAAAATTTGCATTTGAATTATATCCCTTCCTCTCCTTCCTGCATCTCGATTATAATTCTGAATATATATTTATCCCTGTTGGCAGTGTCTTCATTTTATTCTTTATTATGTGTATTGTGATAGCCATTACTCCTATCCCTATCTCCCATATTACCTTCTCCTTACTGCCACTACAGTGATTTTTCTAAACATGAACCTGACCATGTGATGCCCTGCTTCAAATCTATAAACAGCTGTTAGTCACTTAAAGAATAAAAGTCAAATTCCTTTCATGATTAGCCCCCACTTACCTCATGTCATCTCCTTTGATGCTGTAAGTACTCTTACAAGTTATGTTTTTGACACTGAACTGCTAGTTTTCTGGAACACAGTGTTTTTTCCTATATATGTTTCTTTGTACCTGCTGTTTCCTTGTCTAGAAAACTCTCCCCCCGCCCCAGCTTATGTGCTCAGTGAATTTCTGTTTATGCTTAAAACTTCATTTAGACATTTTTTTTTCCAGAAGTATCTTTATAGAACAAAGTCCCTCTGTTTATATTAGTTCTCTGTCTTGTACCTAGTTCTGGTATTTATATCACATGATACTATGAGTGTTGATATGTCTGCATCCCTGACTGGAATATAAGCTTCTTGATGTCAGGAACTCTACTTAATTCATTTTTGTGTGTTTAGTGCATCCTGTTTGGCACACAGTTAAAGCTAATAAATGTTGACCTTGAGAGAGTGATTAATGGTGTAGAGCCATGGTACAAAGGTCATCAAATGTGGTGATTAGGTCTTGAGAGTAAAGGTGATGAAAATCAAATTTCAGAATACAAAGAGAGTGGGTAATAAGAAAATGCAAAACTCGAATGGCTGATAAGGCAGTAGAAAAACTAGAAATTTGATGACAGAAGAAAAGAGAAATAGATATGGGCTGAGGTAGAATCGAGAGGAAGATTTGTTTTATCAACTTTTTTCTTTTTTTTCTTTTTTAAAGATTTTATTTATTTATGTGAGAGAATGAGAGAGAGAGCACATGAGAGGGGGGAGGGTCAGAGGGAGAAGCAGACTCCCTGCTGAGCAGGAAGCCCAATGCGGACTCATTCCTGGGACTCCAGGATCATGACCTGAACCAAAGGCAGTCGCCCAACCAACTGAGCCACCCAGGCGTCCCAACTTTTTTTCTTTTAAATAAAGGAGACCAATGAAGTTTGAGGGGAGAGGGAAAGAAAATTTATTTATTTTTTGAATTTTATTTTATTATGTTATGTTAGTCACCATACAATACATCACCAGTTAGGAAAGAAAATTTAGAGCGAATAGGGAGAGAACGATTGAAGATTGGAGAGGAGGATGGTAAAAGCGTGCGTGCGCTGCGAAGGCCGGGGTGGGGGTGAGGATAGGATCTGGAACAAGACCAAAGTTCTCCTTGGAAGTCAGGATTTAAGAGGAAAAAAGGGGTAGAAAGATGTTTAAAACACTAATCCCTCTTTGTTGTTTTCCTATGTATTTACACTACCTAGACCTAGGTTGTAATTGTGCCTGTTACCAGAAGGTCATGTTTTATTCCCTTATCTTGCTTTTCTTTTTATTACAAAATATCCTTTAAAGAAAACCTCGTTATGTTGTTTTATCATTCTTCATAACACATATTACCTGACACTGTATTATATATTGGCTTCTTTTCCAACTACCACCCCTCCAAAAAAACACAGTAGGAGTTCTAGGATAGAATTTGTTTCTCATTAAAGTCCAGGGCTTAGAATACCTGACATACAATAAGCATTCTGTTTGTTAAAACAAAGAATAAATGAGCATGTTAAATTTATGTGGCAACTCCTACATTTATATGTCCAGCCTGACTTCTCAGTGCTGTAATGGAATTACCTACTTTACAACTCCTGTTTCAAGGGGATCTCAAATGTAACTTATCCAAAATAATCTCCTGATGTCTGTTCTTCTCATAGTCTTTTCTGTTTCAATATACACTACTGTTACCTACTCAGGGAAGGCAGATACCTTAGAGTTGCTTTCTAGTCATTTCTCTCCCCTGTCGTTTTTATTTCCTGAATATAATTCATTCATACGTGTCCTCTTTTCTCCATCTTCACTGCTAGGACCCTATTCATCGGGACTTTATAATATCTTCCTAATTTCTGATTTTCCTGAGTACCCCTTTATTTATTCTCTATATTGCCTTCAGAATGGTTTCCTATTATATATTAAGTTAAATTCCAGTTCCTTATCTTGACATACCATGCCTGGCCCGGTATGGCTCTGTTATCTCTCCCACTTTACCTCATAGCACTTTTTGCTGTTATTTTTCCTGACTGTGCTCAAGTCCTCTAACACCTCAAACTCAGTCCTGCATCCGAGTATCCAGGTTTGTCTGTACATCAGCCCTTCCCCTGGCTGGTTTCTTCTCAAGACTGGCTCCTTCTAATACCTTAGTTTTCAGCTTAAATACCACCTCTTCAGGAGTTAATACCTTCTTTAACTGCTTTATATTGATTTGACTCCTTTTGTTTTTCTCTGAATCCATACTTTGTGTATCTTTCTAGATCTTTACATTTTTAATGATGTATTTTGTTTGCTTACCTGTTCACTGTCTGCTGCCTTCCACACCCTCCCCGACTCCTGCCATACACACATACCCACAGACACCAAATGGTGAGGCCTGTGAAGACTAGAATATTGTGTTTCTTTCTTTTTTTTTTTTTTTAAAGATTTTATTTATTTATTTGAGAGAGAGAGAATGAGAGACAGAGAGCACGAGAGGGAAGAGGGCAGAGGGAGAAGCAGACCCCCTGCTGAGCAGGGAACCCGATGTGGGACTTGATCCGGGCACTCCAGGATCATGACCTGAGCCGAAGGCAGTCGCTTAACCAACTGAGCCACCCAGGCGCCCGAATATTGTGTTTCTTTTCACCATGGACATGCAGCACCTCACTGATAGCATGCTAGGGATGCTCAGTAACTATTTGTGTGAAACAGGGAAGTGAGCAATCTTCATTGTTACGCTTGTGAAGTTCTCAGTATTCTAGCTTGGCCAGAATGCACATGGCAGAAGCTAATGCTGAGAAGCCACAGATCGGATACACGAGATTTTGATGATTACTTTAAAATAATATTTTCTTTATGTATGTGTGTATATCTCTCTCTCTCCGTGTGTGTATGTGTGTGTGTGTTTGTATGTACATATTACGTGTAGGGGAGCTCCTAATTTTGTTTAAAAAAAACTAGATTGTGAGTTTTAGGAGATATTATATAAAGTTAAGGCAATATCACTGCTGTGGTATTAGCCTGAATTAACAGTGTAGTTTCTCAGCGATGTTTCTGTTTTATTCAGTGTGAAAATGCATCCCTAAAAGAACAAATGGAATCTATAAATAAAGAACTGGAGATTACCAAGGAAAAACTTTACACTATCGAACAAGCCTGGGAGCAAGAAACTAAATTAGGTAAGTATTAGGACTCTGATAATATAAAGTGATGAAGATCTAACAGTGAATATTTTTCATATATAGTTCCTTTTCTATATTCGGTGAAAAGGAAGTATTTTGATAAAAACGAACTCTGCCTAACAGTTAATTTAGCAGGCAGCTGATGAGATATATTTAAATTAAAAGGTCACCATAAAACATAAATAAATTTTTGAAAAGAATTTATATAGCCCATAGTTTGACTATTATTATTTTTTATATCACCTTATCCATGTTTACATGAGCACTGGGTATTGTGTGGAAGTGTTGAATTACTATATTGTACCCCTGAAACTAATATTTCACTGTGTGTTAACTGGAATTTAAATAAAAACTTAAATAAATAAATAAAATGTAAGTTTGATTCTAATGGAAAAAATACCCCTGTTTCACACAAATAGTTAATGAGCATTTAACATTGTATTATATTCACTGAGATGTCAAAATATTTCTGTTTTATTCATCATCTTATACATACAAATATTCATGCAATATCTTACTGTTTCAGTGATTAAATCACTAGGTTTCCTTATTTTTGCTATTGCTTATGGTGCTGCAGTGAACATCTTCAGGTATATCTAACAGAGATATTACTGTCTCACAGGATATTAAAATCTTTGTGCCTCCTGATAGGGTTTTCCATATTAGTTTTTCAAATGGTTATCCTGGTTTATGGTATTTAAATAATTTTTTATCTTACTAGCATTGTGCTTTATAATTTTCTAATAAATTTGCTCCTTTGGATAAAGTGTTTTTGTATGTTTGTTTTCTAGACCTTAGATCTCTAATGCTATTCAGAGTTTCTATTATGAAATAGAGCTGTTTTTTTAAATTGGTAATTGGGACATGTAGTACTTTAAGTGAAGACTAACATTGGGCCTAACATTATCTAAAAGAAGCTACTTTCAGAAATGCAGTTTTTAATTCATTAAGAGATTAAAAGTGAATTGACTTCCATGTAGCTTCTACATGAAAGAAGGTATCTTATATCCTAAGATATAAAAAAAGAGTATTACATACAATTGTGGTAAGTTCTCTGTTCATTTTACCCTATCTCTCTTTAATTAAGTGCTAGATTCCCTATAGAAATTCCTAAATTTCTATGAGGAATAATTTTTATTATCATATGACTGATGAAGAATGTAAGTTCCAGGGAGATGAAACAGGATAGGCAGTATCCAAACAGGACTAGAGCTAAGACTGGAATCCAGGTCTGTCATAATAAGGCTCATGTGTTTTCCATGGAACCATGTTATTGCATCCTTGTCTATAATGGCTAAAATATTTGGGATATGATTTTGATAACAGCTTGAGATTGACTTAGTATTGTTGCATATAGGAAATGAATCAAACATGGATAAGGCAAAGAAATCAATAACCAACAGTGAAATTGTTTCTATTTCCAAAAAAATCACTATGCTGGAGATGAAGGAATTAAATGAAAGGCAGCGGGCTGAACACTCTCAAAAAATGTATGAACATGTGAGGACTTCATTAAAGCAAATGGAAGAACGTAATTTTGAATTGGAAACCAAATTTGCTGAGGTTTGATATAATTTTTATCATGCAATTAGAGTAAGAATTAGTCATGTTAGACATTGTATTTTGTGAGTGATTAGTTCGTATTTTTGAAGTAACGTAGTATAGTGCTTGTGCTTCATGTAATGTATATATAAAAGAATAAAAGATGTATTTTTAAATCTGAAATGTTTAAAAAGAAAGCAGGTATTTCTGTGAATAAGTTCTTAATTCTCATCAGCATTACATTAGAGTTAATGCAAAAAGGTATTATTTGCTTAATAATGGTGTTCCCTTCCACTACCATCCATTCATTTAACAAATATTTATTGAGTGCCTGTCACATGCCGGACACTGTATGGGGCTGGTGTTAGGGCAGGAAACAAAATAGACAGTAATCTCTGCTCTCAGGACTTTACATTTTAATAGTAAATTTTAGACTTTTTTGATATAGTCAGAAATATTAAATTGGATGGCAATAAATATAGTTTGCAAATATTCAACAATTAATGATGAAAAAGAAAGAACTCTTGTAATGTTTACTTTGAGAATTTGTATATTTTTTTGAGAATTAGTATATATTTTAAACATATGTCATTTTGTTTAACTGAGTCACTAAATATATATTAAGATTTTATTAACTCATTTGTATTTATTTATAGATGATATAATTGAAGTAAAGTATAACGCATGCACCACATTTCAAACAAATTTAAGAAAATTAGAGATTCAAATATTAGACTGTGAGTTGTCTAATATAAATGACTTTGGTGGGTTGGTGTATAACCAGAGTTTTTATAATGTGTTCCTGACTCTTTCTCTTTACCCTTTTCAGTTTATTCTTAATATTTCATCACACCCAATTCAGTATGGCTTGCCTAATGCCAAGTAAAGAGAACTGCAGTATGGTAAAAGCTAAACTGAAAGGGAAAACCTCACCAAAAACTGATATATCTGAACATTTTTTTGTTATTTTTTTCTTAGCTTACCAAAATCAATTTGGAAGCACAGAAGGTGGAACAGATGTTAAGAGATGAATTAGCTGATAGTGTGAGCAAGACAGTAAGTGATGCTGATAGGCAACGGATTCTAGAATTAGAGAAGCGTGAAATGGAACTAAAAGTTGAAGTGTCAAAGTAAGTTCATCCAAACTTTTCAGTTATTAGGTGTGTCTACTCTAATTCATCTTTAAGAAACCTAATTACAGTGGTTTGGGGTAAAACTCTTCGTGGAATTGATACTGGTCGTTTTTATTTTTCTTTTTTTGTAAGAACAAGATTAAATAATATTAACAAGATTAGTTTTTAACAGGCATAGATAATAATATTGAAGAGGAAATAACTTCCCAAGATTCATATTTTTCAGAGTCCAGGAATAGTATTGCAGAAAGCACTGAACTTGGAATTCAGACCCTATGCAGCCTAGTTCTTCCACATACATTTTTTTTTTTTTTTTAAAGATTTTATTTATTTATTTGACAGAGAGAGAGACAGCGAGAGCAAGAACACAAGCAGGGGGAGTGGGAGAGGGAGAAGCAGGCTTCCCGCTGAGCAGGGAGCCCGATGTGGGACTCGATCCCAGGACCCTGGGATCATGACCTGAGCTGAAGGCAGACGCTTAACGACTGAGCCACCCAGGCGCCCCATACTGATATTTTTTTGGAGGAAAGTGTGGTAGTCATTTAATTTATTTAAATTTAAATTTCTTATGTCTGATAAAGGGTTAGTATCCAAAATACACAAAGAAATTATACAACTCAACACCTAAAAAAACAAATAATCTGATTAAAAATGGGCAGAAGAAATTAACAGGCATTTCTCTAAAGAAGACATCCAGATGGCCAGCAGACACATGAAAAGATGCTCAGCATCACTCATCATCAAGGAAATGCAAATCAAAACTACAATGAGATATCACTTAACACCTGTTAGAATGCTAAACTCAAAAACACAAAAAACAAGTATTGGCGAGGATGTGGAGAAGGCAAGGATGTGGAGAAAAAGGAACCCTCTTGCCCTGTTGGTGGGATTGCAAACTGGTGGAAAACAGTATGGAGGTTCCTCAAAAAGTTAAAAAGAGAACTACCCTATGATTCAGTAATAGCACTATTAGGTATTTAATCCAAAAATACAAAAACACTAATTCAGAGGGATACATGCACCTCTATGTTTATAGCAGCATTATTTACAATAGCCAAATTATGGAAGCAGGCCAGTGTCCATTGATAGATGAATGGATAAAGAAGTGATATGTGGAATAATATTCCAGTATTCCAATTATTGGAATATTATTCAGCCATAAAAGGTTGAAATCTTGCCATTTGCAACAACATGGACGGAACTAGAAAGTATAATGCTAAGCGAAATAAGTCAGTCACAAACAGACAAATACCATATGATTTCAGTCATGTGTGGAACTTAAGAAACAAAACAAATGAGCAAAGGAAGAAAAAAAAGAGAAAGACAAACCCAGAAACAGACTTAACTATAGAGAACAGCTGATGGGTACCAGAGAGGAGTTGGGCGGGGGGGGGGGCATTGGGTTAAATAAATGATGGGGATTAAGGAGTGCACTTGGGATGAGCACTGGGTGATGTATGAAAGTGTTCAGTCATTATATTGTACACCTGAAACCAGGATAACACTGTATGTTAACTATACTGGAATAAAATACAGTAAAATAAATATATTAAGAAATTGCCACAGCCACCCCAACTTTAAACGACCACTACCCTGATCAATCAGCAGCCATCAACATTAAAGGAAAACCCTCCACCAGCAAAAAGATTATGGCTCGTTGAAAGTTCGGATGATGGTTGGCATTTTTTAGCAGTAAAATATGTGTATATTTTTAAAATATTTTATTTATTTATTTAGAGACAGAGTACGAGCAGGGGGAGGGACATGGAGGGGGACAGAGAGAATCTCAAGCAGACTCCACACTGATTGCGGAGCCCGATGTGGGGCTCGATCTTATGACCCTAAGATCATGACCTGAGCTGAAATCAAGAGTCAGACATTTACCCAACTGAGCCACCCAGGTGCCCCAGCAATAAAATATTTTTTAATTAAAAAAAAAGAATAAATGTTAGTTTCTTCACTTTTTTAAGAGAGTACTAGTATCTCTTCTACTTGTTCTATAAGATTGCTATAAAAAAATATGAAAAATTCAGATTTTGCTTCAGTTTACATTTATTGAGTACTATGTACTGTGCTAGGTATTAAACATATATTAACTCACATAATTATACTTAATAACCCTAAAGTAACATTGTGATTTTTATTTTACATGTGGAAATAATGTATTCACTTGGAACACAAAATGTATGTAAGAAATAAATACTGTGTGCCAAGTAGATGCTGTGTACTCATTCTGGATAATTTTTGTCAATTCAGTAGAAAGGTAACAGGAGCCATAAGTTGATTTCTCAAGGACAAATAATTATTTATGACAAGGGTTTTATGGCTTGCCCATCATAAAGTTGTTTTTTGGAGCCTTGATAGCCCTTTGGGAATGTCTGTTATTCTCAGCCCATTTCACTATGAAGGACTCCATTGGTATTCTTTCTCTTAACCTCATAGACCTCACCTTTTGAAATAAACTAATTTATAATTATTCATTTTATTATATTTTAATTTTTAAAACTTACATAACTGGCAATGAGACTTTCTAATCAATGTGAGGAAACCTGACTTATCACAGTGAACTAAAATTATTCTTGCCCAAAGTAAAATGCATTTTACTTTACCTCTGTGCTCTTATAATAGTAGTCTTGTAGGAACTTTAATAATTTACCATCAAGCTTCCCCCATTTTAATTGTAGTAAGCATATAATCTTTCTTTTTCACATTTTTTTAAAGATTTTATTTATTTGAAAGAAAGCACAAACGGTGGGGAGGGGCAGAGAGAGAAGCAGACTCCCTGCTGAATGGGGGGGCCTGACTTGGGGCTGGATCCCAGGCAGGACCCCAAGATCATGACCTAAACCAAAGGCAGACAGTTAACTGATTGAGCCACCCAAGTGCCCCTCTTTTTCACATTTCTGATAGCTTGTAAATTAAAACATATATTAATCCACCTAGGGAACCTAGGAATTTTAAATTTCTGTATTCTTAACTGTACAATTATGTCAAGTAAACCTACTTCACACCTCATTCTAGCTCTGCCAAACTAGGATAATAAGTGTGGGAGAGGAGTTCTATGGCCATATAGATTTGGAAAATGCTGTAGATGTATAGTTTGAGATAATTTACTTTAAAACCTCTCAGAACATTTCATACAATACTATGTATTACGAATTTTCGAGGGAGAGGGATGTTGGGAATGGTATTTTTTTAACAGAACACATGTTAACCTCTCATGGAATTATATTTCATGAAATAGCTGAGGAAATTCTGCTTTAGTATTTGATACTAAGATGCTGGAAATTAGCGGCTTTTCCAAGAGTCTAGAAATCTGAAATACTGGTATTTACTTAGAAAATGTACCTGATTGTTCCTGAAGTATCTTTTCACTTCCTAGACTGAGAGAGATTTCTGATATTGCCAAAAGACAAGTTGAAATTTTGAATGCACAGCAACAGTCCAGGGAAAAGGAAGTAGAGTCTGTCAGAATGCAACTGTTAGACTATCAGGTAGGTACAGTATTGGCTCTTCTAAATAGATTTTTTTCTTTTTCCTAAATTCACATTAAATGTTGGGCCATTTTACAGTTTTTTTTGTTTTGTTTTTTTTTAAGATTTTTATTTATTTTTTTGACAAAAAGAGACACAGCAAGAGCAGGAACACAAGCAGGGGGAGTGGGAGAGGGAGAAGCAGGCTTCCCGCAGAGCAGGGAGCCCGATGTGGGACTCGATCCCAGGACCCTGGGATCATGACCTGAGCTGAAGGCAGACGCTTAACGACTGAGCCACCCAGGCGCCCGGGCCATTTTATAGTTTTAATGAGAGAATATATCAAATAGAACCTCTTATTCTTGTTAATTGTAACCTGATTAGAAAAACTCTTTAATTTGAATTATCATTCATGATACAGAAAAGCATTTAAATACCTACAAATACATTGTGCTGGCCGCTAATCAAAGTTAAGATCTGAGGAGAAATAGTTAGGTTAGTCTTTGATAACAGTATTTTCTCTTGTATTAATATGTAGCTTTTCACACACATATTCTGCCATTATAAATTTTTTTAGGATAAAAAAATTGTCCACATTAGTGTTATACCAGTATTGTTATTTATGTATGGAAGTTGAAAAAAGCAGTAATATGCCAACTTTTATTTAAAGTTAGATGCCAGATTTGGATTTTAAATATGTTTGATTCTGGGTTTTTTTTCTTTAACAAGTTTTGATAATTAAAATTAAATTTAATTAAAGCTAGGCTAGATTTTTATAGGATCTCACGTACCACACTTTTTAAAATTTTATTTAGTAATCTGTGTTTTTAAATCCATGATAAGTGTCATTAGAAAAACTTGAAACTGACTATAAATATACACTTTTTTATGTTAGGCGCAGTCTGATGAAAAGGCACTGATTGCCAAGTTGCACCAACACATCGTCTCCCTTCAAATTAGTGAGGCTACTGCTCTTGGTAAGTTGGAGTCAGTTACATCTAAACTACAGAAGACAGAGGCCTGTAATTTGCGTTTAGAGCAGAAACTTGATGAAAAAGAACAGGCTCTCTATTATGCCCGTTTGGAGGGGAGAAACAGAGCAAAACACCTGCGCCAAACAATTCAGTCTCTACGACGACAGTTTAGTGGAGCTTTACCCTTGGCACAACAGGAAAAGTTCTCTAAAACAATGATTCAATTACAAAACGACAAACTGAAGATAATGCAAGAGATGAAAAATTCTCAACAAGAGCATAGAAATATGGAAAACAAAACAATGGAAATGGAATTAAAGTTAAAGGGGCTGGAAGAGTTAATAAGCACTCTAAAGGATGCCAGGGGAGCCCAAAAGGTAAAACATGGACTTTCAGTTCAGTGTTTCCAAAAGGGTTACATAGTAATTTTAAGTTCTTAATATGTAGCTATCTGAAAAATGCTTACTATATGACCAAAATTCCAATTATAAGTTATTATTGTAGATTTTATAAGTTAAGAGTTTTGGCTTTTTGAATGTCTATTTGTAAAAGTAAAATGAGACTCTTCTAAACAACGGTTTTGGTAGAAAGGCTTAGATTGTATACTATCAAAGAACTTTAAACACTCTAGAAAAGTTTATATGTATTAATTAAATACTATAGTTATTTGTAAACATTATAGAAACATTTGAAGAATGTTATATTAAGGTCACACATATTTTTTAGAAGAGTATGAAAATTCTAAATGAACTTTGTGCCTCAACAAAGGATAATTTTTATCTTATTATAGAATATATATTAACTTCAATTAAAATTATTAGGATCAATGGAGAAATATTTATATAGGTAGTGTTTACATTTGTACATATTATTTGTAAATGTTTAGGTAATCAGTTGGCATATGAAAATAGAAGAACTTCGTCTTCAAGAGCTTAAACTAAATCGAGAATTAGTCAAGGATAAAGAAGAAATAAAATATTTGAATAATATAATTTCTGAATATGAGCACACAATCAGCAGTCTGGAGGAGGAAATTGTGCAGCAGAACAAGGTTTCATTTTATATTTATTTTGCTCTTTTGTTGCTAAATATAAGGATATTGCATGAGCAATTGCATTATTTTCTTAATTGAATGTAGCTCCTGTTATTTTTCTTACAAAATACTGTTTCTTATTTTCTAAGGCTTTCAAAAAATTTGTATTTACTTATGTTGTAATGGTAGTTTTATTTTTTTTAAAGATTTTATTTATTTATTTGAGAGAGAGCAAGAAAGAGACCACGGGCACAGGGTTCGGGGTGGGGAGGCAGAAGCAGGCTCCCTGCTGAGCAGGGAGCCCGACGTGGGGCTCTATCCCAGGACCTTGGGATCATGACCTGAGCTAAAGGCAGACTCTTAACCAACTGAGCCACCCAGGCACCCCATAATGGTAGTTTTAAACTTAAAAGGAACAACACATAAATTTAGTTGGTAAGTTAGTTTTTATTTCGATATTAGTTTTTTGACTTTTCACAGTTACGAATTTCAACTGGCTCTCACTGATGGAGTGTAGAAGGCAGCTTGGTAGAGTAAAGCACGTATACTTTAGAGACAGATGAAATTCACCAAGCTCATGCTTGCTTGCCTTAGAAATTATGTTGTTCCCTCCGCCTAAAGTGTTCTTAGCTCAGGTCCTTGTATTGTTTATGCTTTCGTTACTTCCAAGTCTTAGCTCAAATGTCTTACCTTATCAGTGAGGCCCTTCACTAGGCACCCAGTATACAGCTGTAAATCCTACCATCAGGATTCCCTAAATAGGGATTCCTTTTTCTCCAGCACTCATCACCCTCTGACATATTTATTTATTGACTGTCTCTCCCTCACTAGTACATAAGTTTCAAGGTGAAAGGGACTTGGTTTTGTTTACTGTTATGTTCATATTACCTCGACTAATGCTTAGCACGTAGTACATGTCATTAAATGTTATGGATGGATGGGTACATAGAGAGATTGAAATCCTGACTTCTCATCTTCTATCTCTGTGATCTTAGGCGAATTACCTACTTAAATCTCTCTGACTTTGCTTCCTTTTTCCATAAAATGAGAATATAGTGACCCCAAAGGGTTGTTGTGAGGATTAAATAAGAAAATGTATATAAACACTTTTGTTATATGCTTGGTGAGTGTCTCTGTGTGTGTCTGGTACAGTTTCATGAAGAAAGGCAGATGGCCTGGGACCAAAGAGAAGTTGAGCTGGAACGTCAACTAGACATTGTTGACCATCAGCAAAATGAAATACTAAAAGCAGCACAAAAGGTATGAATGATTAATTCTGTTTGCTACTCTGTAGCATGATCTATGATGTTAACCAACAGAAATGTTTTCTAAAGTCAGATGGAATTTTAATTGATATTATCTTCTTATATTTCAAATATAAATGGGGTTTAACTATGTCCTTGTCATACAGTTGTAACAGTATTGTTCTTAATGATGTAACTGCTTTTTTTTTTTTCCCAAAAAATGCTATTTCTTAATAGTTTGAAGAAGCTACAGGATCAATGCCAGACCCTAGTTTGCCGCTTCCAAATCAACTTGAGATTGCTCTAAGAAAAATTAGGGAGAATGTTCGAATAATCCTAGAAACACGGGCAACTTGTAAATCACTAGAAGAGGTAATTAGAAGGATTTGCATTTTTATTTGTGTATTATTGGATATGTTTGTGGAATTTTCTAAATATTTTCTAACAGAGGTGAAGCATAGAATTATGAATCTGTTGCTAATTCCAATCTCCTTTTCTACTCTACTATAATATTTTTAATAGCCAGTAAAGAACAGCAGATATGGCTAATTTGAATTTACTGCCCATTTATTTATTTATTTATTTATTTATTTTTTAAAGATTTTTATTTATTTATTTGACAGAGAGATAGAGAGCACAAGTAGGCAGAGCGGCAGGCAGAGGGAGAGGGAGAAGCAGGCTCCCCACTGAGCAGGGAGCCGGACGTGGGGCTCGATCCCAGGACCCCAGGATCATGACCTGACCCGAAGGCAGCCGCTTAACCGACTGAGCCACCCAGGCGCCCCGAATTTACTGCCCATTTAATCACTACTTGTCACTTTTGGGCACACTGATCAGTAGTAATAAGCATTATACTTACATTATACTTACAGAAAATAATGTAAACTGAAGGTGATTTTCATTTTGGTTTACATCTAAACGTTACAAACGCATTTTAAAATTTTGTAAGTAAAATTGTCCATTTTTAATCAGTTGAGGAAACCTAAGATTATTTTTCGGTAATTGTAAGATTTGACATTTATGTGAACTGCCACTGAGTTACTTGATCTAAAATATCTGCCTTAATCCTATTGCAGAGTAAACAGTTTTCCTGTTTTATTTTAATAAACTACATATTTTATAATGGTGATTCATTGACTTAAGCCAGTAAAGTTCCAATTTTTATACTCAGCTGACTTCTATGGACTACTCTTCTAGGGCTCTGATAGTCAGTGGGCCAAAATAAAAGGAATGATATATTACATTTCCTTTCTAAATCTAGTATCACCACACATTTCTAGTTCTAAAACTGTAAGAGCTAAATAAAGTACCTTAATTAAATTTTATTTTCATTATAACAGTGAAGTTTATAACACATGCAATAATCTTCTAAATAAATAAAACATGGGTGCAGATAACTGCTGTCACATGGAAATATAAGAAATATAACCTTATTAATATCAATATAGTATCATCAATATAAGTATGATGTGAAAAATAAAGTGAAACTCCTTTTTTTGCTTATAAGTAATCTGACCAAAATTCAGATGAAGCATTTTTAAAAGAAAAAATATACTTTAATAATTTTATTATAATTCGATCACTGCAGAAACTAAAAGAAAAAGAATCTGCTCTACGGTTAGCAGAGCAAAATATTCTGTCAAGAGACCAAGTAATCAATGAACTGAGGCTTCGATTGCCTGCCACTGCAGAACGTGAAAAGCTGATAGCTGAACTAGGCAGAAAAGAGATAGAGCCAAAATCACAGCACACACTGAAAATTGCTCAGCAGACCATTGCAAATATGCAAGCAAGGTTAAATCAAAAGGAAGAAGTGTTAAAGAAGTATCAACATCTTCTGGAAAAAGCCAGAGAGGTATGTTTATATTATGCTCTGCTGTTTTATTTATTACCATGTTTTTTACTCAAATGCCAAATATTATTCTGCCCTGAAGTGGTAGTTTGTTTCTTGCTTTCAAATGATTCTATTTCAGAATTTTTCCTTTCACATGATTGGATTACAGATCTGTCAGTAAAACTGGCAGTTTGTATATGTCTATCTTTCTCTCACGGACTAACTAAAGCAGGAATAGCTGTCATGGTGCAACCGTTATGATTTTGAAAAATATCAGTTGAGTTTATAGGTAAAGATTGAGGCAATAAGTTAGAATGAAATCTATCACACTGGTAGTCAGTGACAATCCAAATTGCTAGAACGTTGATGGGAAAATCTAATATTTAAAAAACTTCCTAGAAACAAGTTAAAAGGTGATGGATACATATTATTCTAATATTAAGAATAAGTTGTGATTTAAGGCTGGATTTATCAGTTTGAACATGTACTAGGGGAATGCATACTGGTGTGTGTGTGTGTGTGTGTGTGTGTGTTTGCAGATATTGTTCCTTCCCTATCTCATAGGGATTTTGGAAGGTTAAAGGTAATAAAATATTTAAGATCTTTAGAATGTGAATTTACTTAAGTCATAATTTAAGATGCAGTTTTGATTTGCTATAAACAGGAACAAAGAGAAATTGTTAAGAAGCATGAGGAAGACCTTCATATTCTTCATCATAAATTAGAACTACAGTCTGATAGTTCACTCAATAAATTCAAACAAACAGCTTGGGTAAGATTCTTTGTTCTATTTTTTAATGGTTTTTGAGACCACATAATTGTAAATTTAGTTCTCATGATTTTTTTTTTTTTTGGAATAGAAGCCATTCTACATAGTCTTCTAAAAACACAGCTCATTTTTCTCCCTATATCTACATCTTTAGTAGCTCACTGCTGCCTACAAAATCATGTTTATATTCCTTAGCCATGTACTCAAAACCTTGCATGATGTGACCTCAGTCTTTCTTTTCAAGTTGTGTTCATTGTGAGTTTACCAATATCTAACCACTTTTCTTGTTCTGAATTCAGTTCATACTTGCTTCCTTTGATCTTTGTCTTCTGTATGTGTGAAAGGGCCTATCTTTCATCTCCTAACATGCAAATCTTGGCATTCTTGAGCCTTAACTCATGAATTCAATCAACATTTATTGATCGTCCACTACATGGAGGTGCTTTGCTCAATGCTGGGAATGCAAAGAATAAGATCTCTCTTTCCTGTCTTGTCATTGGCTATTAAATATCGTTAAATTTTAGATTAGATATTATATTTTGATCATCTGAGGAGGCAAATTAAAATTATGGAATAAGTATGGTATTGAGTCATACATGCTCATGGCTAATTTATTCATTTTTCCTAGGATTTAATAAAACAATCCCCTACTCCAGTTCCAACCAACAAGCATTTTATTCGTCTGGCTGAGATGGAACAGACAGTAGCAGAACAAGATGATTCTCTTTCCTCACTTTTGGTCAAACTAAAAAAAGTATCTCAAGATTTGGAGAGACAAAAAGAAATCACTGAATTAAAAATCAAAGAATTTGAAAATATCAAATTAAGGTAAGTTTTAGGAATGTATTATAAAAATAGGCAAATGGTAATAATGATGTCGTGAGGACAAATGTAAGCATTTGCTGTGTCATGCACTGTTCTAAAAACTTTATGGATATTATCTCATTTTTATCCTCTGGACTATGACATAGTTTATTCTCCCCATTTTTCATATAGGAACCCTAACATACCTTAAGAGGAGATGGAAAAGCCATGATTTGAATCTAGTCAGTCTGGTCCAAGAGCCAGCTCAAGATTCTTGTTCTAGAATCTCGTTTTTAACCTCTTTAATTAAAGCATCCTGTTTCATCATCTATGAAATGGAAATGACAGTAGTTACCCTGGCTCCTTTATGAAGGCCAAATGATACTGTATGTGAGAGTAATTTGAAAATTGTAAAGTAATATATAAATATAAAAACTTTTGTTTACATACCTATAACAGTTTCTAGCACATAATAGAGGTTCAGTAAATACTTCTTGAATGAAAAAATTATTCTGTTAATTAATCATAGTGACAGTAGATTCATTCTCTATATTAGAGATTCTAAATATTGCTCAACCAATTTATCAGAATACAGATTTTAAACCTAAAATAGGTTTATAGTTCATGTATTTTGTAATCACTGTAGAACTGTTAGGAATGAGAGAGTGTCTGCATTGTGTGAGTGGAGGTCTGCATCCTGGGATTCCCCATGAGAAGATATTTGCATGGGGATCAGCACTTGAATAAAGACCGCCAGAAGGAAAGTAGCAAGCACAAAGCAGTTTATTAAAGTGAAAGTGGGAGAGCAGGCATGTTCCCCTAGGTTGTTTTGAAATTATATTATTGGGTTTCTCTGGGCTTGGAGTTGCTGTGACATAAGCAGGGTGATCTCTAATGGAGGCTGCTTCGGGTCATTTGGGAAAATCCTCTTGCAGGTTGGGAGGGGGAGTTTTTGACTCTACAAGGTTTGTACCAGAACCATCTTGGCAGCCCTTCTCAAGGGGGGGTGGGGGGAAGCTGTGCCCACAATGCAAATACATTATAGTGAGTCTAGGGGTTACCCTGGGAAGAGGTGGAAGGAGAGAGCACAGGTTCTGCACCTGTGGCTTGTGATCTGTCAGGCCCAAGGCCTTGGAAGCCACAAAGTCAGGATGTTGAGCTCCCGGGCTTACAATGTGTAGCTTTTTTTGTTTTGCTTTGTTTTGTTTTGTTTTGTTGTTTTTTATTATCATCACCATCCTTGCCCCAGCTCACATCTCCATCGTTCCCCTTCAGGGACTTGGGACTCTACCTGAGGGCGTTCCTTCCACAGCTCTGGTCTGGCTACTACCTAACAGAGCTGTCTCTCTGGACCTGTTTCTTATCTGAAAAAAGAGGAAAGTTGAACTACTTGACTTTATAATTCCATTCCAGCTCTGAAGTTGTTAGTAGAACTTTTTATTCTTAACCTACTTATCCAGTGTATCTCTGATAAAATTAATACTTTTGCTTTATTAAGAAGCTACCACTTTAAGAAATTGTTCTCTAAAAGAAAAGAGAATCAGCAATAGTATTTGGTATCTTTTCTTTTATTATCATTATTTTTTTTTGCAAGAGAGAGAGAGAGTGCGCCTGCACCCAAGCAGGGGCAGGGTGGGGGTGGGGTGGTGGGCAGAGGGGGAGGGAGAGAGAGAATCTTAAGCAGGCTCCACGCCCAGCGCAGAGCCTGATAGGGGGCTCGATCTCATGGCCCTGAGATCATGACCTGAGCCGAAATCAAGAGTCCCACGCTTAACTCACTGAGCCACCCAGGTGCCCTATTTGGTATCTTTTCAATCTAATTTTCCCCATTGTATTAAATTTTATACATGAAATGTTATTTTTGGTGTAGTAAGTTTCTGTCATGTTTTGGTATATAAAATTGCTTGTGCTTTTGAATATAATTCCTGGGTGTAGAAAATAACCATCCTTTGAAATACCCTTGTATATATAGATTTTGCCACATAAAATACTTGAGTCGTTTTCTACCTTATCATGTCATGTTCACTAAAATTATACTTTTATTTTCAGTGTGCACATTGATATGTGTATTTTAATGTGCCTTAAGAAATTATAGATCTGTGTGTTTTCTTTAGTAAAACTTCCTATTTTCACAATTTGATTATTTGAGGTAACCTCAGTTTTTGGTACAGCTTGCAGGAGACATAGTATTTAAAGTGAGATTTTGTTCATTATATTGTCTAGAGCCAAAAATTACTTCATGCAGTCATTGCCAACAGTAGTAGACAAACTAAAAGGAAAAGTCTATTTCATGTTAAGTTTAAGAGTTAAATGATGTGAACAAAGAACTGTTCTTGTTTTGATTTGACTCAAGACTTAGGTTGTAAGGATACTTAGGGCCAAACATTTGCTCTTTATAAAATTTGCATCGAAGTATTAATTGCAGCAACCACTCCGTTAAATATATATGTTTGCTTACATTAGGCTCCAAGAAAACCATGCAGATGAAGTGAAAAAAGTGAAAGCAGAAGTCGAGGATTTAAGGTGTCTTCTGGCCCACTCACAAAAGGAGTCACAGAGTTTAAAATCTGAACTTCAGGCTCAAAAAGAAGCAAATTCAAGAGCTCCAACAACTACAATGAGAAATCTAGTAGAACGGCTAAAGGGCCAGTTAGCCTTGAAAGAGAAACAACAAAAAGTAGGTAACAACAGAGTATTACCAATATTTAGGAAATATATGTGGTAATAGATTGCTTTTAGAGAAGACTTGTAAAAGATGATAGCGTATATCTCTCTGTTGTAATAAAAGTATGAGCTTTGTCTTATGCTGTTAAGCAGAATTTTTCAAGATAATTCATTTTAATAGCCATTTGTTGGTGTTTTTAAGTACAGATATAGTCCAATTTTTTTTTATGTTGTCATCAGTTTGATTTGTGAGTTATCAATAGGAAATAAGGGGATATCTTAATCCTGTTATTTTCTCTCGTTTTCTATCTGGGATTTTAATGCTACTAAGGCTATTTTGAACAATTTGAATAATTGAACAATTTTGGGGAGCAGGAGGGAGATACGACAGTGAGGAGGAAAGTTTAAAGAAGGAGGTCAGAGAGAGAGTTTTTTGAGAAGCAGTTGATCAGTGGATTATCTAATGTATTAGTTTTTAAATTTTATCTCAGATTTGATATACTCAATCGATTTAGAAGGTGCTGCTGTTTTTCTGTGCTAGCTTAGGAAATTTATTGGCAAATTTCAAGCCTTTTTTCTAATCCTATGATTTTCCTTGTTTGTATAAATTCAATTAGTTTCACACAGAAGTATGTACTGAGTAATTCAAATAAATATCTAAACTTGGATATTGAAACAACATGCGGTTTTTGTAATATAAATGTCTTGATTTAATGCTGGGTTCTCAAAATTACTATTGTCAAGATTTTGAAGTCTCTCACACTCAATTTGGAAAGAACTGAGTGCAATTACTAAAGGAAATTCATTTGAAAAATTTGGACTGTTAGGCTGTGAATTATGTTTGTATAAACACATGATATTTTAGGAAAATAGTTAAAAGTAATAAAGCATGTTAATTTTTTGTATTACATGTTGTTCGTATAAAATACTAATTTTTTAAAAAGTACATATGTTATAATTTTTAGGCACTTAGTCGAGCACTTTTGGAACTCCGGGCAGAAATGACAGCAGCAGCAGAAGAACGTATTATTTCTGCAACTTCTCAGAAAGAGGCAAATCTCAATGTTCAACAAATTGTTGATCGACATACTAAAGAACTAAAGGTGAACCTAACACATGCATCAGTATAACAAAATACCTTATAATTGCTATTGGGAGAGGAGCCACTTTGACATATAGTATTTTGATAATGAATAGGGAATTTATTCTAATGAATTATGGGTGGATATATATATATATATATATATTCATTTTGGGGTTTTTTGTTTGGTTTTTTTTTGGGTTTTTTTGTTTTGTTTTGTTTTGTTTTAATTTTATTTATTTGACAGAGAGATCACAAGCAGAGGGAGAGAGGGAGAAGCAGGCTCCCTGCTGAGCAAGGAGCCTGATGTGGAACTCGATCCCAGGACTCTGGGATCATGACCCGGGCCGAAGGCAGCCGCTTAACCCACTGAGCCACCCAGGCGTCCCTCATTTTTGAACAATAAGAATCTTTATGGGGCGCCTGGGTGGCTCAGTGGGTTAAGCGACTGCCTTCGGCTCAGGTCATGATCCCGGAGTCCCGGGATCGAGTCCCGCATC